GTAATTATTAGGAAAATGTAAGTTATATTTTTTATTATAAATAATCGATCAATTACCTTTTAGATGTATCTTCTAACACTGAAGGAAATGGAACATCAAAGCTTTGATTATTACTGTCACTAAAGTCATATTATAACAACAATTAGTAAATTAGTAAAAGTAATTTTTACTTTTAGCAATGACAGTACGATATATTAGCTAATATTTTAGGAGGTATAATGATAATTTTAATTATTAGTAGATAAAGTAAAAAAATTGACTATGCTGATTTTAAATAAGGGCAATTTTAACAAATAAGGGAAGGTTTTCACTTTGACAATCTCAATTTAGTGTAGCGAGAGGTCCCTGACAATAGGAGAAATAATGGTAAGACAACAGTAAAACAAAAATTTTAAAAAACTTTCGTCCATTGATGAAACTTACCGAAAGTTCATCATTCCAAAAATATGTTTTTCTTTCATATTTACCTAAAGTCCATTCCAAAGTCCAGATGTTCTGATTCTAAAAATGAAAAAACGTTAGTTATAATATTTTTAATATAAATACATTTACACCTAATTACCTGAAAGGCTGTTCCAAATGGTTTTTTCTTTCAAATATCTATATAGAAGGAAGACATAAAATAGAGTAATAGATTGATTAATATACGTGAAGTATGAGTCTTCAGAAATAAAAATCAGCAAAAACAATGTGTATAAATAAGATAGAACAAGTATCGATATGCGCCCAGTCTTAAGCCGCAGGATCCTCTTCAAGAAAATTTTATTTTCTAGAAGAAGAAACCTGAGTCTTAAACGATACCAATACTATGTATGCGCTTAGTTTTAAGCCGCATGATTCTCCTTAAGAGAAGAAACCGAAAATAACTTACAATTAATAAATTAAAATTTAACTATGAACATAATACTGGTGTAATGTTATACAATGGAAAAAAAATGATGAAAAGATTGATGACATAGTAAATCATGTAAAATTTCTTTTTAGGTCATATTAACGAGAATTTTTTTTCCTTTTTTATGTATTCAACCGCAATATGGATATTGAAAAGATGAATCGTGTGAAATTTCTTAATGAACTGCAAATGCTTTTAACTCTCTTTTTTCCTTTTTTTTCAACATCCAATTTTATATCGTAAACATGGATATCTTGCCAGAAATCGACTTAAGTGAGAACAGAATTACGAATAATACAATTGACAAACTAATCGAAACGCTTAAAACTACAAAGTTCAAGGTTAACCTTATTATACAAATTAAGATATATTTTAAATATAAATCTAAAGTTTTTATTTGAATTAGAAATTGAACCTCAAGAGTGTCTTCACTAAAAATAACAAACAAGAAACCTTTGAAATTTTGAGAAAAATATGCGAAGTAATTAAAAAAAGCACAAATTTGGAAGAACTGATAATTAGTAAAAATGCACTAGGAAAAAGCGGTGCAAAGGCGTTAAAAGTTTTTTTAACTAATAATGTTAATTTAAAGCACTTGATAATAGACGACGCGGGGTTAGGCGAAGGAGGTACAGTTATATTAGAATCGTTATTGAATTCGAGAAGGAAAACTTCTTATTTAGAAACATTTTCAATAAAAGAAAATGTTTTAGGAAAACAGTGTTCCAAACTGCTTTCTATGGTTCTACATAAACATAAAATTACACTAACAAAAGTAATTTTGTCTCGAAACAGCTTTTATAACTCAGATCTTTGTCAAATAATAGAGTCTTTAAGTTTGTGTAAGAAGTTACAAATTATTAATCTCGAAGATAATTTTTTCACTAAAAAAACATCGAAAATGCTTAGTCGATCTTTGGCTAACTGGCCGGATTTAAAACAACTAATAATTAATGATTGTTTGATATGTAAAAAAGGTGTTATATATATTTTAGAGGAATTATTAAAGGGTACCAATAAAAATATTGAATATCTGGGGTTTCAATATTGTAGTATTGATGAGAATGGGTTCTATACTTTGGCAAGTATAATTAAAAAAAGTCTAATGTTAAAAGTGGTGAAAATCAATGGGAATTATTCAATTAAAAAAAAATGTATGTCAAAGATAAATTTGGTCTCTAAAAAAAATGGAACCTTGATAAATGGATTTGATGATTTAATTAACGAAGATGATGAGGGAGAAGAAAAGGAGGGAAAGGAAAAGGAGGGAAAGGAAAAGGACTTGGACGATAATGAGGTAGAGGAAATTCATAATGACATGAAAGGGAAAGGTCATGATGGAAAGGAGGGAAAGGAGGAGGAGGGGCTGGACGTAGAGGAAGAGGAAGGAGACTATGATGAAAAGGAGGGAAAGGAGGAGGAGGGGTTGGACGTAGAGGAAGAGGAAGGAGACTATGATGGAAAGGAGGAGTGACTGATGATGAAATCATGAGTTTTATAATAATAATAAGATAGTGCCGTAGTACAGTTGCGATTTTATCGTAAAATTAAAATATTTTGTATATATTGTGCCAGCTGGCAACTTAATAAACATCCCATGACTTTAAATTTTAGCTGAAAAGTTAATTGAACGAATAATTTACTTACATTAATTATTCTACGTAAAAATCATTCATAATTTTTTATTTATTTTTTTTTTACATTTTATAATATAAAATTATAAATTCAGTCTAATGTGATAAATCAGATACTATTATTAACCAAATTCATTGCTACACTTTTAACTCCAGTTTTTTTCAATTTGCACAAAGAATAGAATAATGAATCTATAATAGGATCTCCAATCTTACTAATAGCCAATAAACTTTCTTTGTCTAAAGAAAAATATATATATATATTACTTCAGATTCAAGTTCACAAGTTTTGCTTTCTGTTAATTATACAATACCCGGTTTAGTCACTTTTTTACATATCGAAGTATTGCCTAATATAATTTAAAATACCAAAAAGTAAATATTACTTTTGTTAATCAACAAAGTAGAAAAAAAATACGAAATTTTACCGATTTTCACTCTTTTTTTATCATTTTTTAGGGTTGAGCCTTATATAGAAACAATAAACATAAATTTAGTATTATTGTTTGTTCTAATTATTAAGATTATAAGATATAATTTGAAACGTACAAAAATCTTCGTTAGTATTATTGGTATCTGATATTTCTAATATTTCTACTTGATCATCTATAAATAAGTAAAGAAGAATTTTACTTTTTGTAAACAACAAAAGAAACGATGAAAAAGAACTACCATCACTTTCCCTAACATGTTTTTTGTTTGAATTTCCTTCGATATCTCGCGATGCTTATAATATAAATATGAAAATTGGATTAATAACTTTATAATAATTATACATAACAAAATCTCAATATTAATGCTATACCGTGTTCGCCTATATATTAAATATAAAATCATAGTAATTTAAAACTAACCTTGACTATCATAATTTTCAGAAAGACTTTACCAACCGTGCTATTAAGATTAGAAAGATCGATATTTTTAAAGATAATCCAGAACCATTTGTCCTAATAATTCCTCCTAGTGTTACTGGTGGTGATGGTCCTCCTGGTTCTTCCGGTGGCATTGTTTTTGAAACTTTTAGTAATAATGCACTAATAAAAAACAAAATAAAAATAATGAAAATAATGAACTCTAACTTGGCATCGAAATCTATAATTATGAAATATTGATTCAAAAAAATTGATATAAAATTCGATTTATATTGCCACACATTTTATTTTTTGTTTTTTTTTGTTCTCATTTTTTACCTGCACAATTCTTGCATTTGTCTTTAGTTTTTGACATCTTTTTTCAAAAAATAATTCATGTCTTTTAAAGAAAGAAAGAAATTTAGTTTATAAAATTAAATAATCTAATTACGTTATTTTATTTAATTTTTTGCCGATAAAAATATTCATGTACTCGATCAGAATATTTTAAGGACACATCATCACATACCAGGTCATTTGTGAAACCGATACGAATAGTATATAGTCCTTCCCAGAATATTTTAAAATATTACAATTCGAAACACTATTTTAAATATCCATTTGTACAATTTCAGTATATTTTAAGAATATTATATTAACATACCTAAATTACTGATAAATTACTTTTAAGGATATTTTCCATATCTAATCAGAATATTTTAAAATACCAGTCAATATTACATTTAAAAATTAAGTATATTTTTAGTATAATTTAAACTTATTTATTATTATAGAACACTATTTTAAATATACTGTTTGTACAAATTTCAGTATATTTTAAGAATATTATTACTATATAAGGATATTTTAACCATAAAACTAGTACAGTTTAAGGATGTAGACTTTTTATAGGGACGTAGAACCATAGTCTTTTAGTTCTAGGCTAATTCTGGCTAGATATATAGTGTCAGTTGGAATTACTAAATATGGCAATCACGTGATCCCGGATAAATAGTTTAGCCACTGGACAAAAAATTTTTTACTGGTTCTGTCATTGCTAAGGTTGCTTGTCTAAACCTATTCAAAATCCTATGATTAGTTTCGTCAAAATTTTACTATAGATTTATTATAGTTTCGGCAGAGTTTTGGCAGTTTCAGCATTTATAATAAGTTTCGGCAGTTTCGCCTTATCCAAAGTTTCACCAGTTTTTTAATATAACTTTAATATAGTTTCGGCAGAATTTCACTTTTCGGCGAAATGCCATCTTGCCAAATCCCCTAAATTTCGGCAAGCAACCTTAGTCATTGTAACACAAAAATTTTTGTATTACACTTACTTGTAATTCTGGCTGGCACTATAAGTTCGGCCTGAATTAACAGCAGGATTGAAAAGACTGAAAGACCGCGGTCTGTCTTAAGACTGGCAGTCCTGAGACTGAGTAAGACCAGTAGGACCGATGACCATCTTTAGTAGCAATTGCTGATCGTGCACTTTTAAATACTTTTTTAATTTTAAGAAAACTAATCCAGGAGGAAAAAATGTCAAATTTTTCACCACTTTTTTTGTCAAATACATAGAAAGTTTTGTCTTTTTTATCATAAATTAAAGTTCCCTCTCTATATTTTGCTTTTTTATAAAAAAAATAAATCTGTTTTCCATTAAAACTAGGTTGAAATCTATATAATTCTTGAAGGGCCTCGGGATGCTTAATTTTTTTGATTCCTGTAAGTTGGTTTAGTCACTTAAAACACGTTTCTAAAGTAAAAAAAACTTTAATTAATAAAATATTTTATTAAATAAAAATATTTAAGTCTACTTTTCTGACTATATTTATTAAATTTAAGTATATATATATATGTATATATGTATATATATAGCCGATTAAAAATTTCTTTTCATAGAAATATTTAATCACGTTTTGAAGAACCAAAAAATGAAAAAAAGATCTCATATTTGTTATACTTTAATGGTGTAATAATATTGTATATCAAATTCTTTTATCGGAAATGATTTATCTTTCAAATTTTTGACATTTATTAGTGAATTATATTAATTTAATATATAAGACAGTTTTGTTAACCTAAAATCATATTGTGTAATATTCAGTTAGATTCCTCTCACCCCTTGATAATGTATGAAGATATTGTGAAGTCTGATAACTTTTCTAGGGAGTTCTGAGTAAGATTGCTGGAGAAACTAAGGGGTTTTAGCAAGTTGGCGAAATGCCAAAATGGCGAAACTTTGCCAAAATTATATGAAAGTCTTATTAAAAAATTGGCAAAACTCTGGAGAAAAGCGAAACCTGATTAAACTTATTATAAATGCCGAAACTACTGAAACCTTGTTAAAACTATAATAAAACTATAGTAAAATTTTGGAGAAACTAATTGTAGAATTTTGGAGAGGTTTAGGCAAGCAACCTTAGTTCTGAGTCCGCTGCTCTTACTAAAATACCATTGAGTTTGTTCCAATATCTATTTATATCTTCTTGAAAATACTCTGTAAGATTGGCTTTATTCTTAATTACTTTTTGATCTAGCGAGTTTAGTTGATTTTTTATATTAAGCCAGAACTTATTACACTTTTCCATTTCAATGTCATCACAATCATACAAAACTATGGTGTGGGCATTACCAGCACAGGTCGAAATGCTAAAAATCGGCAAAAAAATGGCACGAAAAGCAGTGGCTATTCTTGGCTATTCTTGGCTGTTTTTGGCTATTTGCGAATTAACCTATACTATTTGTAAATAGTTTATATAAATTTGCGAATAGTTTATGCAATTCTAGCCATTTTTTTGCTTGTTTTTGGTCATTTAACGTGTGCAGTAGGTAATTTGTCATATATTGTATTTTTTTTATTATTTCTTATGAGGATCGAGGTATCTATCATAGTTAATGTAACTATGTCATAATCATTATGTGTGATAAACATTGAGGGGATAATTGAAAAATTCATTAAATTATTACTGTGATTTTCTGATATCCAAATTTGGTCTATTCTCGTGCTTACACAGGATTCCGCTTACTTATAATAAAGGTCACTGTAGAAAATTGGTCCTTTATTAATAGTTTTTACCTTACTTTTTTCTTAAATTCTATTGGTTAATTAGCTAAAATCATAACAATGTAACATAAAATTTTCTTTTATAGTAGGATCTGCAAAGAATTTTATATATGATTTTTACCTTAAGCCTGGGGGTGACCTATCTTATAAATAAGCAAATTCTACTTACACCCTCTCTGTGATAAGTATTTTTTAGTACTTTTTTATTGAACTTTCTATATAAACCAATGTCTCAAGATCATTAAAAAATTTGGGTTTTGTAATATGTTATAGACTTGTGATGGGTACGATCAATATGACCATTTGAAATCAAGTTAAAATCTCCTATTAATATATGTACTATATATATTTGATTTTTTCCTTATAGTTTCATCACACATTTCCTTTTTAAGTTGTTCCAAGGTGTCATGAAAAATTGTTTTATTTTGTGATGCTGCGTAAATAATTTATATGCAAAATAAAACATTTCTGAATAAAAAGTATGCTGAGACTAATTTCATCTGAATAATCCCTACATACTTTCTTAACGGACTACATGAACAACCAGGTGTATCCAGATGTAAGGTTGCTTGCTGAAACCTAGGAGTTTAGGCAAAATGGCGTTTCACCAAAAAGCGAAATTCTGCTGAAACTATATTAAAGTTATATTAAAAAACTGGCAAAATTTTGGAGAAAGGCGAAACTGCTGAAACTTATTATAAATGTCGAAACTGCTGAAACTCTGCCGAAACTATAATAAATCTATAGTAAAATTTTGATAAAACTAATCGTAGGATTTTGAAGAAGTTTAGACAAGCAACCTTATCCAGATGTGTATACATTCGAAAAAAAGCTGCAGGTTGTTCCAGAAAATGAAAGACCCCTACCTGACTCCGTGATAAGAGGACAACCTGAAAGATTTGTACCTGAACAGGACCCCGCTTACTTCTAATAGAGGTTACCTATAAGTCTAAGGTAAAAATTACATAGAAAAGTCAAAAAAAACTGGTTGGTAAAATTCTTTATAAATTAAAAAAAGTAAATGTAATTCTGTGGTAAGTTTTTTTTATGTAACTGTTAAGTATATGGTAAAATTAAACAGGATTTTAAAATGTAACTTGTAATTATAAGGTAAAATTTATAATTTTGTAAAATTTATTACTAGTATATACTATTTTTAGCATAAAGTTTATTACACAGACATGTAAAATTTATTATACTATTTTTAGTTACAAGTTTATTACACAGACACATAAAATTTATTATACTATTTTTAGTACAAATTTATTACACAGACATGTAAAATTTTATTACATAAACACGTAAAATTTATTATACTATTTTTAGTTACAAGTTTATTACACAGATATGTAAAATTTTATTACACAAACACGTAAAATTTATTATATTATTTTTAGTTACAAGTTTATTACACAGACACATAAAATTTCATTACACAAATACGTAAAATTTATTATATTATTTTTAGCATAAGTTTATTACATGGACACGTAAAATTTCATTATACAAATACAGACACATACAAATTTATTACACAAACATGTAAAATTAAAAAAATAAATATGTAAAAAAGAATTTTTTATAGATATTCATGTAATATAAAAAATTATAAAATAAAGCAAAGAACGGAAAAAATGGGTGGTTGGAGGTAGTAGGTGGGATAAATATAAGTTATTTTTTTTATTTTTTTTTTTTTTTCAAAAAAATAATATATATATTTGTAACTATTGATCAATTTTGAACTTATTTTAAATAGGAACTTTTTTACATTTTTTTAAAATAATTATATCTAAAAATTAGGCCAATTTTAAAAGAAATAAAAAGTACCAAATGTATAAAATAAATTATGTTTTATACAATTTATAATTATAAATGTTACTGAACTTGTAAGGTAAAAATATATGTGATTTAAAAATATAACTGGAAAGGTGGTAAAATTACTTAGTAAAAGGAAAATTAGAGTAAGGTAAATTTACATATAAATCTTAAAAATTTTACGGTGACTTCTATTAGAAGTAAGCGAAATCATACCTGAGCGGATACTCTGACATCGTATCAGGAAAGGCTAAGACTAATACCTAGTTAAGTGAGAATGCTATCTAGATACTGAAGCTACTTGGGAACCCACTAGTCAATTAGAAGAAGATGTTTCTGACTTAGTTTGCAAGTTTTAGGAATAAAAAAAAATTGAAGAATTAAAAGGTCTTATTTTTTGTCTCCTCGATTCACGTTAGGAACTATCAGAATAAAAATATTTTTCCTATTGCAAGTAAGGGCTATATACTCACG